TTTGTATATTTTCATATGTGAAAAAGTAATGGGACAATCAGCTTATAAAAAATAAAAAAAAAATAAATGTTTACTAAATAATTACAATAAAGGTTTGAGTCTTACTTACGATTTTTGTGTTATTTCTTTGAAATTAAATTTTTCTGCTGGCGACATGTTTTGAACACCCTATCATTGTACATTTCCTTGGTTTGCTGGAAACACTTAAAACAAACTTCCATCTCTATCATATAGAAATTATTATATGTTTGTGTAAGGTATGTACTCAGAGAAATTTGCCCCAGAACACTGGCGACATCAATTTGGACACTTAGGAAAGATTGGCACTTATTGTTTATGGAGTATTGGTCTTGTGAGTTATATCTATTCTGGAGTCTTCCAGAAATTCGAACAATTCTTTTCAATAGCAATCAACAAAAATCAGAATATATTCTTCTTTTAAATGATCTCTAAAATACAAAACTGAAAGGTAAAACAATCATATTTTTATTATCTCTAAAGCTTAAGACATATACTCTTTCAGACATGCCTAAGACATCCAGAATGTGAAACTGCCCGAGAAAATCGAGACACTGTGTTTCTCCAGATGAGAAGAGCAATGGATCTGGTTCATTTTGTTGTTAAAGATGGAGTCATTCCAGATTTAGCTCCATCCAGTCGAGGCACAACAGAATCACGAAGTAACAGTGGTTCCTGTTCTAAGCATAGCAAAAAATCCAATGTTGTTGCATGGAAGCTACAGGATCTAGACCAGTGCCTCACTGTTCATAATGCTATTAAGAAATTTGAGGTAAAAATACAAGATTTCCATCATGTAAAAAAATTTCAGGAACCTAAAATAAGTCCTTTTTGTTAATATTTTTCAAACACTTGAAGTAGACCTAATGTACATTATTAAAATGAGTTGTCAAATGGACTTTAACTAGAAGTTATTAAATGTAGGGTTCTTTTCAAAACAGCAGTCCTTTTCTTTCCTCAACTGATCTCAGAATAGAATAACATTTTTCATTGTACATAAATGTTATTTGACTGGTAGAGATTAGTCTTCAATATACATTCATCCATACTGTTGTAAGCTATATTTTTAATATTTTAGTTTAGGTGTTTGTTTGCTAGAGAGAGCTAATCATGATGATAATGATGCAATATATCTAGAATGTTTGTGAAAGTTAAGGCCTCTGTAGAAGCTAGTAATTTCAGGCAATATATAAAAACAAGGGAACAATATAAATACAAGGCTTAGTGAAGTAGTCAGTTATTGAGTGGTTAATGAGTACTGAGTGTTCAGTGTGGTCATCGAGTTATTGTGTCTATTCAGTAACTTGATCGATTAGTGAAGAAATTCTGCAAGTTTATTTGTAATTAACATTAATATCTTAATTTCTATTAAAATATTGTTTGTAAACTTAGGCTTACAACTTGAGTCAAATTGAATATAGACTTTAATTGGTAAAAAAACAGAGCGAGGTCTAGTCTACATATTCAAGGGAGATTAACTCTCAGCCCATGTGAACTTGTAAAAACCTCTACATTACTCATTCCCACCAAGAGTGACATTTTCAGATTTTAATGGGGGGCAAGAGGGTAAACTTTATTGATGATTTAGGGGGATGGATTACTTTTAGGTTTTTAAAGGTTACAAAATAAAAATCAGTCTATTTTGGAAGCATTTGCTCTGATTATTCAATAACCATTCAAACAGCACAAACTTCACCTTTTAAATACTTGTATTGTACCTGAAATTAAAAACTGGTATAAAACATGGGGAGGAGCAACTCTTCCTCCCTTAAGTGGCAAGCACCCCTGCTTTCTAAATGCAAGAGGAAAGATGATACAAAAGCTTGACTATGTAAATAAAAACTCTCAGAAATTATCAATGTGGTATGTTATCCTAATTTAAAGTGAGGATTATAAAACGAGTTTTTGATTACTTATTCCTAGTTACAGAGATGTACCTAAGTGTGGAACACCCGAATAAAAATTTAAACATTCCTGAAAATATTTAAATAATGATATATTCTTTTCTAATTATAAAAGGTAAAATATGACATTTTCCAACTGCTACATTTGTTTAATGGCAGTATGCCAAATTCTCATAAAGAATTATTATAAGATCTCATTTTACTTCAATGAAGTTGTTTTGTTTTGTTAGCAAATGTAAGACAATATGAGAAGTAAATTTCTTTTTATAACAGGATATTGTGGAAATGACACGAATGACACTGGTTGGGCCTGCCTACAGAGACCAGTTGACAAGTGCCTTAGATGCAGTGGTGGAGCGCACACAAGACTTCACTGACTCAGCCTACACTTCTCATGAACACAGAGAAAAGATACTTCTACTGTGTGATCGTGCTAAACTAGAGCTAAACCAACTACTTAGAATAGGTGTAGGACTTGTAAGTATTAGTTTTTTGTGGTTAAGCTAAAATAAAAGGATATATTAATATACATAAACTGGTATAAAAAAACATATTTGTCACTCTAACTTGAAGTTAATTGGTGTGTATATGAATTAAAATTTAAAATCGTTTGTCAATCAAATTATGAAAGAAAGAAAAGTTTTATTTTGATTACCATGTTGTTTGTATTTTTTTCAGAATTTCTGGTGCATAATGGAGGGATTTAGATACTTTAGGATTAAAATTTGAAGAAACAATAAATGACCTGTTCCAGATAATAACAAAAAAAAATTATTTTAGCCGGTGTTTTGCCATTGCAACTTCATCAGGGCTAGTATTAGTGTGGAAACAGACAAGCCAAATTCTACAGTTAGTAGGTGATTCTTGATGGAACCACATGTAAACAGTGGATTGGATGGTATCATTGTAAACTGGAAAACATTATTCTAATAAGGAATCTGTGTTATCAAAGTCAAAGATCTTTTTAAAATGACACACGTGCTACTAGCCCTGATGCAGCCACAATGGTAAAACATTGGCTGAAATAAAAAAATTGTTATTATTATTTGAAATTAAAGATCTTTTTTTTTCTAACTTTGTTGCTGAAATATTTTATTATTTTTATTGCAGAATTTTTACTCTGAAACTTGTGAATTTTTAGTAACTTCTAGTTTACATGTACTTATGAAATAGCAGTACAAAGATATATATATATATACACTGAGTGGTCACAAGTAAATAGACACCTAATTTTTCGTCATTTAACTGATTTATGCTAACTAATTTGTGTTCACAGAGCATTACATAAATGAAAATGGTCCGCACACTAATTATCTTGTGTTACAACATGCCTAGAATTCAAGGTTCTCTCGAATTGTCAGATTTTGTTAGAGGAAGGATAGTTAGTCAAGCAGATGGTGGAATAAGTCAGCGGCAAATTTTGCAGAATTTGGGAATCCCGCTTTCAACAGTCAACAGAATCATCGTGCAGTTCAGGAAACACGGCAAGGAAACAACTGAGCAGCGTCCGGGTCGTCCTGGTCCATCGGAGAGGACAAAAAGGACTGTCAAGAAGAGCATCGAAATGGATCCCAAATTAACGACTGCAGAAGTGGCCAAAAAGCTGGTGGGATGAGCCCGAAATCTGTTCAATAGATTCTCCACAGATTGGG